GGCATTGATTTCTACCAGAAAGCCTAAACCCTAAACTAAACCCCAAACCCCCAAATCCAAACCCGAAACCCTAAACCAAGCTTAAACCCTAAACCCTAAAAGGCCCTAAACTAAGCCCTAAACCCTAAACCCTTCCAGCCTAAATCCAAATCCCTAAACCCTTAAGGCCTCATATAGGGTTTAGGGTTTAGGAACCTTTTTAGAACCCTCATAGAGCTCTGAAAGCGGAGCCCTACCTATAGGCTCCATTGCAGTTCCTTGTTGTGGTTTATACTTAGCATCCGATTAGGGAATCCCAAAGCACCTTCAATGGAGACTCTCAGTGCGTTGTGCTGTGTTGCTTTGGAACTTGGGAATTGCCCCGCTCGAGCCCGAGGCGTCACAGCCGTCATCAATCCCTGCACGAGACTTTAGGAACCTGCAGCAAAGCACTGTTTTGCGCATTCCCGTGCGTAAGATTATTGTATCTGGGAATTGCTGGGGCCACAGGGATGTGGGGGATCACGAACTTCTTGGGAGGGCCCTTGGCAACGGTAACGGCAACCTGAGCGCCCCACAAGCAACGGGTGTCCACGAGGTCGGCCGAGGCAAAAAAAGCACCATGACGCAGGCTTCGAAGGTTTCTTAGGGACTTCTATGGGCCCCTTTGCTGATTCTGGATATGATCTACGGTTCGCGCACATGTGGGGCACAATATCTGATTGGAATGCTTCTGCATGAGCAATATTGACAAAAAGTTGTGTATCTTGCTGAGCGCCATCTACCCTGTACGGTATTGGGTGAAAAATTGACGGCAAAGGCGACATGGGCTTTGTAGATGCATGCGAGGTGTCCACCTGGCCTTTCTTTGAGCGCTTCCCCTTCTTTGAAGGCTTGTCTTTAGCCTTGTCTTGGATCATTTTCTGTGGCTCCTGAGCTGGAGCCGCAATCAGCCGACAGAATCACGTGCACATCTCTCGCCTTGTCCTTCTTGTCGCTCGTCTTTTTCTTGTCAATATAGTCTTATCTTGCATCATCCTGGGCTATTTTTGACCACATCAATCGCGAGTCATGCACCGCGTGCACGAACATACACACTTCATGCGAGCAAGGAGCTACGCTCTCTTTGTTGCGCACGCAGAAAACGTCGTGCCAGAAAACATTGCACCTTGACCGCCCACAAACCCGCACCTCTATGAGACGCGAATGTATAGGACACCAGTTTACATCTCGGCATTTCCCAAGCACAACGCGTGCCGCGAAGAACCACTTTTAGAATGTCGTTTCCACAAGTTCGCGTAGAATAAATTTTGCTGAGGCGAAACACGTGTTCACACGAAAACCACGCATGGGTTTCCAGGCTCTTTGGCCCAGCAACACTCAGCCGTGAACGCGGGAAAGCGGGCAACGCAGGCCATGCCAGGGTTGCCGTGTAGGGCCGCCCTTGCCGCACCGACTCGCCGTCCTCGGCTGAAACATGTGGGGAGCGGAACGTTCCTCCAAAGAGCCTGATGCTTCGACAAGGCTTGAGGGTCCCGGGTTTAAACCTTCCACCCAAGCTAAACCACGAACCTGAAACCCATGCCTTTGAAGCGAAGTACATAGTATTACATAGTGCACATCCGAAAACCTTGTACCCTAAACCCTTAAACCATTGAAACGGAGCTCTAAGGCATCTTGAAGCCTCCTAAGAAGGCATCGCTAATTCATTTGCCAGCTGTGGCCTCGGGACTGGAAATCTTAAGATCCAAGCCTGGAGCCTAAACCCTAAACCCTAAAATATATTTTATACGGGTTCTACAATCGAGACTCAGGGTTTAGGGTTTAGGGGTTTAGGGTTGTTGGGTTTATGCGTGGGTTTGTGGTTGAGGATTTCGGGGCTTAGGGGTTGAGGGTTCAACAGAGGCTTCATGGGCAGCTAAAGCCGGAATTAAACCCTACTGCAGGGAACTTGCTGAACAGAATAGGGTTTGGGGGAAGGGGGAGGGGGATATTCTGTGAGAAATATACATGTACTGCTACGAAGTAGATATTCAGACCTCAGTATTCAATCTTGCTAAAGTCCGGGTCGAGACCACGCATAAATCGCCACTGCACGAAGGAAAACAGAGGCCCGGAATGCCTCACGCTTCGCCGAAACGGGGCGCAGCGCATTTACTTTCCAAGATGTCATCCCTGCATCCGAAAATGAAAAGAATCCAAGAGAACCGTTACCTATGCAGCAGGTTGCCGTTCCTGAGAGCCTACCTTACGGACCACAACCTACTTTTCGTACGTTCTGGCTGTAAACCCCAACATAGACTTTATAGAGACGCTACCAAAAAGCATGTCTTGGAAGGTTGTGATATATGACCCTTTGCATGCCCAATACCCCAGAGCTCTCTTAAGGCCGGTACACAGTCATGGATCTAGTATAAGGACCTGAACTCTTGGAGTTTGGTTTTGGCGCATAATGTAGCATACTATACAGTAAGGAACCCTACGGGACACTAACTGTCAAGACCACGGTATTGCCGAAGGCTAGTGTTTTATCGCCTGCGGCTTGGGGTGTGGGCTTGAGAGGGTTTCGGGGTAAGGCCTCAGGGCTAGATGGGTTAAGGGTTTCGGGTGCCCTAGAACCGAAACACCCACATCTTACAAGCCGAACGCCTGACCGCCCACTAAGTTGTCACCTCTTGTCCGTAAATGTGCTGGCTTATGGCATTAAGCTCCCGTCGATGTGTCCTCATATACTGCACGTGTACAGATGGTGTTGAACCGATGTGACATGGTGTGCCAGATCTTTAGAAGTCATAGCCTTGGCTTTGTGTCATCTTTAGACGAAATACTTGCATCATATGTACGTATGGCCGTCTAAAAATGAGACAAAGCAGAGTGCAGCAAGCACGCGAAGAGTGGATCGAAACGGCATGGCAAACATCCCGCAAGCCGGACAGACAATATGGCAGTTCCTGAGAAGCTAGCCACATGGAGCAAACCAGCTGGACATCCTAAGCAACTGCTTCCTCAATGGTACCGCCCTCCATTTGAAGTGCAGCATAGCCCCAGACCGAGAAAAACACCACTCCACGCGAATACTGCAAATACTTCCACATAGACCCCTCAACCCTAAACCTTAAACCCTAAACTTACCCTAAACCCCATAAACCCCAACCCTAAACCCTCAACCCTAAACCCAAAACTTGCACTAAACCCCATAAACCCCAACCCTAAACCCTCAACCCTAAACCCAAAACTTGCACTAACCCCCCATGATTTTCCGCAACCACAAGGCCCAGATCCGAAGAAGCTGGAACCCAGAAACTTTTCAACGCCAAAGCAAGAAACCCTAAAGCCGGGCTTTGGGGTTTAGGATTTTAGGGTTTAGGGTTTAGGCTTTTCGGGTTTAGGATTGTAGGGTTTAGGGTTTAGATCGGGGCTCTACTTGGAGATCCAGAAACCGATCGTTTTATGGGCTCTACCCGATGTTGTAGGGTCTGGGGTCAGAGGTAGACACCCCAAACATTAAATGTCCATGTCTATATCCTGCAAAGCCCTGATTTCCCCAATATGTTCCTAAACCTAGACGCGGCCGCAATTGACCTACCAGAATAAGCCCTTAAGCCCCTGCCCAGGTCACATCCTCAGCTTCGACTTCTTCGTTGCAAAGGGGGGGTGGGGGGGTGGGGGAGGGATGATAACAAACATGTTCACGGACTTCGTATACAAGTCGATGCTTCTTATTTCCAAGTCAGTCCTGCGCTGTCATTGTGTGTGTTGTGTAGGAATGCGGGCTGCCGGCAAACATGTTCACATGCCTGCTCTTGCTAAGCTTTGGCCGAAGATGTGGACTCCACCTAGACAGCGTAGAATCAGTGAGGCTTTAAGCCCATACAGTGTTGCGAGCTCCCGGCTAGAGCTTCAGCTATGGTCTCCAATGTCCGTTCAGTCGTCGCCGGACCGTGCCGTGGCTCAGTCGTTGTCAATCCGCCGTGCAGTACCAAGTGATCCACCTTTTGCAGAAGTGCCACCGGCTGCAGTAACAAGTGCAACATCTGTTGCTGAAGTGGCAGTGCCTGCACAAGGATCTGCTGTCGGCGCCAGACTTGCACGTGAACATGTTTCCTATGCAGCTGGCAGAGACAGTCATTAAGGCAACACCCCCGGTCGAAGACCTCAAAAGGGTGAGTGATTGCAAGGGCTTACAGTGCATAGACAAGCGGAGATGTGAGGCCATCGTCACAGACGGTGCACGCCTCTATCCTTCAATAGGAGATGCCCTGCAGTTGCCGCACATTCATGTCAATCACTCCAAAGGAGTTTGGAGGCGACAGTTTCTCCGAGGCCCAAAGCCTGCATTGCAGGCGCACAGTGGCACGGTGGACAATATGTGGAAGCAGATGCAAGAAGTCCTGCCTTCCACATTGCGAGCTTCGTCCCCAGATGGAGAGACTACAGTCAACCCTGCTTTAGTGGAGTATCAGTTTCAGTTCTCTTTGCGCTGGCATCATGAAGGAAACTTTCAGTGCCTGAAGCAGAAAGTTGGGGACTTCCTGCGAACTCAAGGGTGAAAAAGTGCTTGCCCTAAGTATGCATGTGCATGAACGCTGGCACGCACAGCGAAATCGGTAGGGCAGAAGTGGCCGCGCCAGGTCCTAAACTTCTAGGTTCGAATCACAGCCCTAAATAGGCCCGAGCCGAAGAGTTACGAAACCTTGAGAGAAACCTTACTGGCAAGATCGTGGGAGTGACATGGGTGATCAGCACATTCCCTAAACCCTAAAGTGTCTAAACCCATATAGATCCTAAAGAGGAACCCTAAACCCTTTATTACAGATCCCTTTAAGGATCCCCTACAGATCCCTTGGAAGGAAGCTTTACAGATCCCCTTAAAAGAACCCCTACAGATCCCACCCTAAACCCTAAACCCTAAACCTTGAACCTTCAACCCTAAACCCTAAACCCTATAGATCCTTTTAAAGAAACCCTAAACAACCCTAAAGATCCCTTGAAAGGAAGCCTAAATTCGACTCACGAGGTCTCTATCCCCCTCCTTCTTTGGCAGTGGCAGTGCAAGATGTCTGGCTCAGCATCGTGGTGACTTTGCCAAGACCGTTCCTGGCTCTCGGGCTGTAAAAAAAAGGGGCTAGGGTTAGAGTTTAGGGTTTAGGGTTAGGGTTGTGGGGCCCATTATACTATGATTACATTAAGCAGCCCCCAAAATAGTAGTGGTAATTATAGAGGCCCCTACGTTAGGGCTGTGGGGCTTTGGGTTTAGGGCCTAGGGTGTTAGGATTTCGGATTGCGGGTCTAAGCTTTATAGGGTTGAGCTTGAGGGCTTTCGGGCCTTGAAAGGATTCCACGAGGATTGCGGGCTTTCATTCGGGGCTACAGAAGGGCTTCGTAAGGGGTGTAGCCCTAAACCCTAAACCCTTGAGGGTTAGGGTTCCGGGTTTAGGGTTAAGGACTCTTAAAGTCTTAAGGATTCTATCGGTATCGGGCTGAGGGCTCGGGAGTTCAATGGAAAGCCAGGCATCCTCTATTCGTGGCGCAGGGACCTGTTCTCTATGTAGGAATCCCAAGCCTAAACCCTAAACCCTAAACCCTAAACCCCTAAACCCCTAAACCCTAAACCCCTAAAACCCTAAAACCCTAAACCCGTAAACCCCCCTAAACCCCTAAACCTGTTGGAACCTGAAGTGGCCCGAGCCAAGAGTCTGAAGCCAGCTTTGCACCGGCCAGGTCTTCCTGCGAGGACTGGACCTGCAAAAAGCCAAGCGTCTAATATAGGAGCCTTCGGTTTAGGGTTTAGGGTTTAGGGTTTGGGGTTTAGGGTTTAATAACTAGAACACGGTTTCGGGATCTATTATACTGTGGTTAATTTTTTGGGTGTTCCACTAAAGGGTTCTACTATAGAAGTTTAGGGTTTAGGGGCCTTATTAATTAGGATAGGGTTTGGGGATACATTATGCTATAGTTATTATTAAGGAACCCCCGGAATCGACTTGGTAATTATTTAGGCCCTTGTATTAGGGTTTAGGGGTTAGGGCTCTTGGGTTGCAGGAGGCCGTTAGGGTTTTGGGTTGGGGCTTATAGGCTTGAGGGTTTAGAGTTTGGGGTTCTAAACCCTAAACCCTAAACCCTTAACCGTTAGGGTCTAGGGTTTTGGACTTTGAGATTTGGGAAAGGTTTGGAGCACGAGGCTTTGGACTGGGAGGACGGTTTAGGGTTTAGGGTTTAGGGTCCCTAAACCGTAAACCCCTAAACCCTAAAACCCTAAATTTTATCTACTATAGAGGTCGCGTAGAGGTTTACACATTGTTCGTATTCCTCCCTTCTTCAAAGGCCTTCCTTGGGAGATGCTTCTCAACTCATAATGATGCTCGGAAATCCTGAACCCTAAACCCTAAACCATAATGATGAAATCTAATGATGATCGGGGTGGGCTGGGGGCTTTTTCATCGGGGTTGTCGGCCAGTGCTGCGGCTTTAGGATTTAAGCCTCTGGTCTAGGGTCTAAGCCCTAAACCGTAACTCCTATACCCTAAACCCTAAACCCTAATCCCTAAACCCTAGACCCTGAACCCTAAACTCCTAAACCGTAAACTGCACTGTAGCTATCCGATCTCTCGGCCCCTGGGCCACCCAGCCCTTGCACTCCTCAATCCTGCGACCCCCTAAACTTCCTAAACCCTTGGATGCTCAACCCGTTTAGGGTTTGGGGTTTAGGGCCCTCCCAAAACCTAAAATCCTAAGCCCTGCATGTACCACAAACCCTAAATCCCCAGATCTGAAAAGCCTTGCACTACACCCTAAACCCTGATCCATGACGAGTAAAGCAATATATACTATAGTGTCAGCGCCCTTGGAACCAAACAAAGACCATCTCCGAGATTTTGACTATACTCATAATCCAAAACAAAATTCCCAAAATAGTAATTGCTGAGAGCCTTCAAGATGTGCCTGTAACCCTAAACCCTAAGCCCCTAAACCCTAAACCCCCCCATCCGCGCCTTTCTGGCAGCTGCGCGATCCCTCTCGGATCGGCGCCCGCTTGGACCAAGAACCGCACCACCTTCCTTGAAAGTTTTGGGTTAAGTGTTTAAGGGTTTAGGGTTTAGGGTTTGCGGTTTAGTGTTTGGGGGGCCTAAACCCTAAACCACTCTGAGCTTTGCTTGGGGGGTTCCTTGGTTCTTTTGTGTTGAGTCTTTGTAGGAGGGGTTAGGACTTGTTGTCAGCCATCAGGATCTTAAAGTGCTTATGGTGCTTTTGCACAAGGCGATAGGGATGTATTGGGCTCCAGGCTGCTATTTTGGAGTTTAAGGAAGAGTCTTGCTTTGGGGTGTCAACGGTCTCACCAAACGCGTAAACCCTACACCCTAAAGCCCCATGCACCCAAAGCCTAAACCCTAAACTAAACCCTTAAACACCTAAACCCCTAAACCTCTAAAACCGAAACCACTAGACGCCTAAACCCTAAACCCCTAAACACCCAAACCCCTGAACACCTACACCCCTAAACACCTAAACCCTAAACCCTTAACCCTAAACAACTAAACACCTAAACGCTAAACCCCTAAACCCTTAGAGAGGTTCGGGACTCTGGGTGTGGGGCTCAAGGCAATGTCGGGGGTGTGGGGTCATAGGGTTAGGGTTTAGGGTTTAGGGTTTCGGATTGAGGTGTTTAGGGCTTTAGGGTTTAGGGGTTTGCTGTCATGGATTTTAGGGAAGTTATGTGATTCATGAAGTTTTGAGGAATCTAAGCATAGGATATCAAACTAGAGCCATAAGAAGGTTTGCACCTATAGTCACCATAGAGTGCAGTACCACGGGAAGTTACCAGCACTGGAACGGAGACTGTTGCTAATTGCTAACTGGTGAATGTTTCGAAGTCCTACGCAACATGATGGGTGTAGTGGCCCTACACCCTAAACCCTAAACCCTAAACCCTACACCCTACACCCTAAACCCTAAACCATTAGCAGTGGTGGTGGTAGGATGGTGGCGGTGAGGTGGTAGAAAGGCGGCGGTGTCGGCGGTGGTGGTAGCAGCCAACAGCAGACGCAATTAGAGCAGACCGAAGACTAGGACCGAAACCCTAAAAACCTAAAACCCTTTTAAACCCTATAAGCCCTAAACCCTAGATCCCTAAACCCCAAAACCCTAAACCCTAAAACCCTAATCCGCGGCTGGGACTCTGAGCCGGCTTAGCTGCAGAATGTCCGATGTTGCAAGATCTACAACACGAGCCCAAACGTGCACGACATCTCAAACGAGCTTTCCACAACCTCCCAGGTACCTACTATATAGGGCCCTAGGGGCTGTAGTACCCTAAATAGTAGGTAACCGGGGGGTTAGGGTTTGACACGAGAAAAATCAAACCGGTTTAGGGTTTAGGATTTTGGTTTACGGTTGATCCATCAAGCTGGCAGAACTTGTCATTCTTCCGCCAATATTCTCTCCAATACGGAGGCCTTCGGTGCGCTATCAAACTCTGACACAGGGCGGCGAATCTCAGGCCTGCATGCTCTGATTGTTCAAACCGAAGCCCTATGTGCAAAACCCTAAGTCCCAAGACCAAAACCCTCAAGCCCCAAACACACACGACAGCTAGTAACCCTGCCAAACACAACTGTCACAAAACCCTGGTTAAACCGCACCCGTAAAACACCCAATCTGACGGCCGAGGAACAAACACAAACTACTCATACAGGAGAGTAGCCAATGCAAATCAACCAGCCCACCCCAAACCCTAAACCCCTAAATCCCTAAACCCTTACAACCCCTAAATCCTAAACCCCTAAACCCTAAACCCTATATTCCTTTTTATGGGCAATGATGTGTGTGGAACCCTTAGGAAGCCTACGTAGGCCCTAAGCTCCGTTCGGCCGTGGCTCAGGTGGCCACAGGAGCTTGCCATCATTACCGGCGTCGTGCCCTCCTGCTCGGTCAACTTTTGGGTTTAGGTTGTATAAGGCTTTGGGTTTTCCTAGTTTAGGATTTAGGGTTTAGAGTTTTGGGATTCAGGGATTCAGGGTTTAGGGGTTTGGGGCTCCATCATGTGATAAGCTCTGTAAAGTATTTGCAGAGGGCTTGCCGAACGGAAATCCTGAAATCTGTTGAACCTGGTCTGACATAGACGTCCGGGCCCCGAGCTGTAGTACCGTTTCTGGATCGCCTATGACGCAGGGCTTGCATTTTGTAGTAAGACCGCATGGAAGCCAATGAATAGGCGCCGCCATCCAGGTCAACCCATAACCCTGTAACAACAGACCGAAATCCGCAATCCACCACCCGAGACCCCCAACACCAAAGAATTACACCAACTAAGACCCTGAGAAGGAGTGCATCCTGATCTGCGTCTTTGTTGGCGCCATGCTTCACCAGCAAACGTACCTTTGCTGGTATGGCATCTTACATGTCCCAACCTCAGTGTTGGATTTAGGCTGAGCGTTCTTGGGTTCGGGCTTTAAGCCTAGGGCCTAAGGGTTGACTGGCCCACATCCCAAGATCCAACCCTAAACCCTAGATGAACCCTGAACCTCTAGATTAAGTCTTTCCTAAACCCTAAACCCTAAACCCTGAACCTCTAGATTAAGTCTTTCGTCAGGCACGGATACAGGGCTTGAGAGGGGTGAGGTTTAGGGACATGACATGAACACCAGAAGCCTGAAACCCAGACTGAACCGTCAAACCTCGTATCACTAATATGGGAACCTGATGAAGAAACCTTGGGGTATTAATTAGGTTTCCTTGTATGAATCCTAATATACTGGGGTTATAGGGGCCAGGGTTTCTTAACCAGGTTCCTACCTTATCATATGACAAAAACTCGCAGACATGACCGTGAAGTGCAGAAGCATAAGACGTGTAGTCCACGGACCAGGGAGGTTTGGAAGGAACTGATGTTGGAAAGAGCGTGTCGTGGAACAGAGAGGAAGGAGGTGTCAATCGGCATGTCAGCAAGCCCCAAAAGCCGAATTAAACCCTGAACCCTTACTAAAGCCTGATGGAGAACCCCAGAAATTCAGAAGCCGAGGTGCGACGTCGAGATGGCCGCTGACGCAGCCCACGTGCAGCGGTGTAGAGCCCTTCAAAGGGTTCAGTTTTTACTGGATTTCCCTGAACCCTAAAACCCAGGGCCCTAAACCCCAAACCCTCAACCCTATAAGCCCTTAACCTTAAACCCTAAACCCCAAAAACTACTGTTTTCCAGAGCCCTGCTGGAATTCTGGATTCAGGGACACTTGAGCTCTGAGGGCTCCTGTCGTTCTACAAGCGTTGTACAGGAGTTCTAGAAGGCTTCTACCAAGAATCGGTTTAGTTTAGGGTTTAGGGCTATAGTTATAGGAGTTCAGGGTTTGGGATTGAGAACTTTTGGTTTGGGTTTTAGGGATATACTTGCTAGGTGCAGTACTAGCAGCGTGTATCATCATAGCAGGGCCCGTTCAACATTCGTCATGCCTTATGTGAGGAGGGGAGGTGCAAGTGATTTGAAAGCGCGTCGCCCGTGCAAGCCCTAAGCACAAAGCCCCTCAGCCCTAAACCCTAGACCCCTATACCGCTGGGCCCGAGACACTAAACCCCTAAACCCTCAACCCTAAACCCACGACTAATCCCTAAATCAGAGTTTTAGGCTTCACGGGTGTTCTGTTGCAGCGGTTTCGGAACTCGGAACGTGGAGTATGTGAGGAAAGGTGCAGGGGAGGGGTTGGAAGAAGATATTAGTTCATGTAGTTTTCCTAGGGCACTTACTTCTGGACCCACTTACTAAGTCATCCGCAAACACCCAACTGGGAGCCCCCAAAACCCAACGACAAACCCTCAACTCTGAGCCACCTCGCTGTCGCGCTTGTCCTTATCGGCCCCCAGGTACAGAAGAGTCCGCACGACATTCACGTGGCCTCCGCCATTGTTGTTACGTTAGGGTTCAGTAGGCTCCACGAAGGAAAATTCAAGGGGGGTGGAGCCTACAGAAGTCAGCTGGGGGGTTTCGTGCTTGGGGTTTACGCAAATCATACTATAGGATCCACCCTAAACCCTAAACCCTAAACCCTAAACCTATAGGATCCTGATGAAGAAACCTTGGGTCTTTATTCGGATTCTTAGTATGAACTCTACATAGCTCTACTATATTTGGCGTTATAGGGCCAGGGTTTCTTAATCAGGTTCCTACATTACTGGCTTCCGATGCATGCGTGAAGCCTGGAATCCCAATGCTGCCACACTCGACATCCTCAAGCCAAAAGCCCCAACACTTGATCACTAAATCCGAGACTGCACCCATCGAGCTGGCCGTTTAAGGGCTTGCAACGCGGCTGGTAGAAGGAACTCATAAACTCAACCATAGTTTTTTCAAACTCAGGCAACTCTTTCACCGTTCTTGACCTCACCTTGAACCCTGAACCCTAAACACTGAACCCTAAACTATAAATTAAGCTCGGGCTGCCAAGTTCTGGCTTCAGGCTGCGGAATTTAACTCCACAACCATCTGCCGGAGTGAACGCTTGATGCAACTTACTCAGTGGTATGCTCTGTGAGGTTGAATGGTTCATCTTACTGCGTCTTACTGATTATCCCGGCCCATAACTCTGAACCCTAAACCTAAAAGCAAAGCCCTGCAACCTTAATCAGAAAGTCCTTCATGTTGAATGATGGGCCCTAAACCCTTAACCCCAAATCCCAAACCCTAAACCCCTAATCCCCAAGACCTTGATTTCGAACCTCACCCTAAAGCACCTAAACCCCAAAACCCTAAGCCCTAAACCCCGTTAAACCTTAACCCTAAACCCTAAAAACCAACACCCTAAACCCCAAAGCCACTAAAACCCAACTCCCTAAACCCTAAAACCCTAAAACCCAAAACCCTCAACCCCAAAACCCCTAAACCCAAACCCCCTAAAAACCCAAAACCCTAGAACCCAAAACCCAAAGGCCCGGCCGTGCGCGCACGCCAAATGAAGGGGTCCTTCCATCGGCTGGTCCAGAATGTGGGGGGTTGCGCAAGGGTCTGACGGTTTATGGTTTAGGGTCTTAGGGTTTAGGGTCTGACGGTTTAGGGTTTAGAGGTGTGGGGGTTTTAGGGCTTAGGGCATAATTTTGGGGCCTATAGGGTTTAGTTTAGGGATTTAGGGTTTAGGGGCTTAGGGTTTAGGGGTTTAGGGGTGCCCAGATTTCCCAATATGCCTTACTTGGAAGTTCATGGTTAGTTTTAGGTAAGTTTTAAGGTAGGGGAACTATTTCGTTATAACCCACATCCAGGGGCTTATAACCCGACTTGTAACTGCTCAGGAACCTTCAAGTAATTAAGGAATATGCCTTAACTCATACTAGGAGTCCTAGTCTAGTTTAGCGTCTGTTCCTTCATTAAGGATACGGGACACAGGCGACACAGGAGGATCTGGGGATAAGGTCCCTAAGCACAGAGCCATTTTGGGACCTTTCTTAAGGATTGGTCGCAGAGTTTAGGGTGTTAAGGTTTCAGAACTTGCTTTAATTTGGGGCTTAAGATCCACAATCTTAGAGGATCGTAAGAGCCCATTACCTGTATAGCGGATTACTGACTGGGTTGCGGGCGCTAGACCATTTATTTATAGGTTTAAGGGTCAGCACCCCAAGATGTAGCTGACTGGGCTTCTTCAGTATATTTTACAAAGAAGGGCTTCAATGTTCGATATTGCTTCTCAAGTTTGTGTAAATATCCCCATGGGGGTACTCGGGGTGTTTGGGAGAGGTTCTGGCAGGGTTACAAAGGAAACTACAACGGTTGGGTTTGTTGGATCACAGCGTCTCGGGTTCGGAGTGGGTTTACGTTTAGGTGTCATGGTGTCATGTTTTGGGTTGTAGGGTGTAGGGCTCTCTCAACTTGATGTGTATATACTTCAAGGGTTAGACCCCAGAACGAAAACCGCCCTCAACCCTAAAGCCCCAAATAGCTCCCCAAAAGAAGCCTTAAAGGAACCGACAACGGAACCCTTGAACGAACCCCGGCTCCTAAGCCGTGCTTGTTCGACTTGTCGATGTCGTCGCCGGCATCGAGCAACACTCGCGCAATCTCCAGGTATCCTGGGATATGACAGGAGGGTTTGGGGTTAAGGATTTAGGGTCTTAGGGTTTAAGGCTCAGGACATTGGGTTTGAGGTTCGGGGTTAAGGGTTTTCGGAGTTTTGAGTTTGCTGGGTCAAGTCTACGCGACTGTAAACAACGCATCTCACCGCACAGGCAAAAATCACCGTAGACCTCAAACTGAAAGCCATCGGTTTCCACTGAGCTTAAACAAGCAGCATAACCAAATTAAGATAAAACACCCCCGATCACCAAACCCCCAAAATCCTAAAACCCTTAATCTAAACCCCAAAAATCCTAAAACCCTTAATCTAAAGCCCGAAAATCCTAAAACCCTGAATCTAAAGCCCAAAAACTTTAAACTGTGTCCAGTCCGAGCTTCCGTCTGAACATGCACGGTGGAGGGCCGATGTTCCCTGCAAGGGATAATAAGGTTCCTGCAATATAGGGCTCCTATAAGGCCATTATGGGGTACTATAAGGTTACTATAACATAAGCTTATATGAGGTCATCCTGCAGGTTTTATGGCGTAGGCTGCAGAGGTGGGAGATTGCGTAAGATTTTGTGTTTCGATTTTGGAGTTCAGCGAATTTAAGGAGGAAAAGGACTCTACTGTTCTTAGAAGGTATGCCAACTAACAACCATCCTTGGAAACCGGCAGAAGGGAGAATCACCCAAGATGTCTAATACTTAATTAGCAGACCTTAACCCTCAACACCTCTTAATCGGAACAGACCTACATCCGAAATCCCTCTCAGCGAGTCCGACACGAGCCAAAACAGACGTGCACGCCGAAGCAATAAGGCTTCAGGGTTAGGAAATTTCCTGCGCCAGCCGTGTCCTTCGTGTGCCTGTTGCTACACAGTCCTGAACTTGGTGAGTGTGTCAGGTCATGTAAGCCCATGTTTGGAGGCTTGTCCACGGAGCCAACTGCCTTCATAACTACGGAGCCGTACCGGGCGACCAGAACAGAAACACCCCTAAACCCTAAACCCTAAACCCTAAATTGAATTACTCCTCTTGAACGGATAACTTCAATCCCGAAGCCTTAGACGTTGAAAACATGTGCCCCAGTAGAGTTCAGCGATGGCTCGAGAATCCTCATCACCTCTACGGCTCTTCTATGAACCCACAACTTTCAAACCCCAAACTGAAGCCTAAACCTTCTAAGCATGATGAAACCCTCAACTGTAAAACCTTCAGCCTAAATCCCTGAAAGCCCAAACCACCCGAACCTCTGCCTTAAACAAACACCCAAGGCCTGCACCGCCTCGGAACCCCAACCCTGTAACCCCAACGGCCTGAACCCCTCATAGTCATAGTAGATCCCCTAACCCCAAAACCCTAAAACCTCAACCCTAAATAGCCTAAACCCTAAACCCTAAGCCCCAAAAACCCTGCACCTCTCTGTCCGTCATGGTCATGTCAGCTCCATTCTCGAGCAACAGGCGCACAACAGCAGCTGAGCCTGCAGGGTCTCTAGGGTTTAAGATTTAGGGTTTAGGGTCAAGCAACCCGTGCAAACGCTGCAACTCGTAAACTGATAAACCCTAAACGCTAAACCCTGAAAAGACCTATGCCCTGAAACCAAAACAAGCACATGGAGAGAAGCCCTGAACCTTCAACTCTAAAACCCTACCCCCTGAAACCAAAACAAGCACATGGATTGAAGCCCTAAACCCTAAACTCTAAAACCCTACCCCCTGAAGCCAACACAAGCACATGAATTGAAGCCCTAAACCCTAAACTCTAAACCCTACCCCCTGAAACCAAAACAACCCTAAACTCTAAACCCTAAACCCCCTGAAACCAAAACAAACACGTGAATTGAAGCAAGGGTCCATGGCTGCAGGCCAAAAGCAGAGCTGTTGATCCTTAGGATCAGGACTGAGGGCTGGGTTTAGTTTAGGGTTTAGGG